CTCCAGCCACTTCATGATGTGCTGGAGGTGGCCACCGTGGCTGCAGCCCTGGCACCAGACGAAGAGCCCCTTCACCACGTGGTGACAGACGGCGCACATGCTGGCACACTGCCGACACCTGCGCCCGAGAGAAGGGGGTAAGGGTGAGAGCCGTGGGAGGGGGCACAACCCCCTCCTCCTGCCCCCCGCAGCCCCTCCGGGGCTCTCCCCGGGTGAGGGGAGCAGGGTGCCCACCCCTCCCCACCCTCACCGGTCGCAGATCCAGCCCCTGTTGCTCATGGGCCGTTTGCAGTTGCTGCAGTTGACGTGCAGGGTGGTGGAAGCCTGGTTGAGGCAGTTGATAGCCCGGCACGTGCTCAGCTTGATCACCTCGTTGGAGATGTTCCAGAGCTGGAAGCGCTGCAGCAGGTCGATGTAGGACGTGTACCAGTGCTCCTGGGGACGGCCATAGACAGCTGAGTCCCGACTCCCGCCCCCCAAATCCCCCCTGGCATCCCAAAGGCAAGATCCCTGAAGCTGGAAGAACTGCTCTGTGGGGCTGGGGGAGAGGCATCCTTCCCCAAATCAACAGGCCAAGGCCTCTTCTCCACCCTGGCCCTACGGACACCACCTTGGGTCCCTGCCAGGGCCAGTGGTAGGGCACCCAGCCGGGTATCAGGGGTCCTGGAGCTTCCTACCTGGAGTTAGAGCAGGCCTGGCACGGGCTGGAGGCAAAGGGAGGTGTCCAGAGCGCTGGCGGGATCCCATTGCGTTGGGATACACCACCTCTGGCTCCCACCAAGGTGCCCTACTGCATCTGGTGGGGTCACTGCTCCAGCCCCCATGGGAGGGTTCAGCTCCTACGCAGCCAGGAAGGGGCTTCCTGGGGTCTTACCTGGGTCTGCTCGTCGATCTCCTTTCGGATGCGGTCCCCCAGCACGATGAGGACGGACACGGCCGTCTGCACGTCACCCTGCTCGGCGTAGAAGAGAAGCGTGTCCCGCACGATGGGATTGAAGAAGTCGGAGGGCAGGCGGTTCTCGTAGAGCGAGTGGGAGATGGAGATGAGGGAGAAGGACTCCACGGGTGTCAGCGACACCGTCTCGGCCTCATTGCCGCTGACATGAGGGGAGTCAGCCTTGTCTTGCAGGTGGTCCAAGGCTGACGGGTTGTCCACTATTTCGTGGCGCAGGGGAAAGGCTTCCTGGGGAAGGCTGTATTCCTGCTCTTCAGCTGTGAGGAGAGAGAGAGATGATG